AAGGAGATCAAGGAAGCAATCAAAAGATATCTTGAAACAAATGAAAATAAGAACACAACTAACCAAGTTCTATCAGACACAGCAACAGCAGTCCTATGAGGGAAACTCATAGCATTACAGGTCTAGCTCAAGAAAAAAAAGAAAAATCTGGAATAAATAATCTAACTTTACACTTAAAGGAACTAGAAAAAGATCAACAAACAAAGTCCAAAATTAGTAGAAGAAATAAAAATAATAAAGATCAGAGAAGAATTAAATAAACTAGTCTTAAAAAAACAATACCAATGATCAATGAACCAAAAAGCTGGTTCTTTGAAAAGAAAAAAGGAAGACCCAAATAAATAAAATCAGATATGAAAGAGAAATAACAATTGACACTAAAGAAGTACAAGGGATTGTAAGAAAATATGAAAAACTACATGCCAACAAATTGGACAATCTGAATGAAATGGTCAAATGCTTACAAATATACAATCTTCCAGACTGAATCAGGAAGAATCAGAAAATCTGAATAGACAAAATACATATCCAGAAGTTTTAGTTGCACTTTTATACAGCAATAAAAACTATCCAAAAGAGAAACTAAGAAAACAATCTCATCTACAATTGCAAAAAATGAACAAAAACAAACAAACAAACAAAAAACCACAACTCATAATTTCTTTTGATTAGCCAGAGGGATTTAACTTTAAGGAACAGAAACTGACCTACATTCACTTAAATAAAAATGTAACTCTCTAGAGGAATATGCTTTATTTTAAGGAAGACACAAGCAAGCAAGTTTTATAAGCAACATGCATTAGGGAAGCTCTAGGATGTAACTACCATTCTCAGCTGCCTTTCTTTCTTTTCTCCTGATTTTCTCTGTTTTGTTGATATTTGGTTCAGTCTTGAGAAAGAAGTCCTGTGTCCTGGCAATGATTATAACTAAAAATAAATTTAACCAAGGATGTAAAATACTGTACTCAAAAAGTTTTAAGACACTAAGGAAATAAACTGAAGAAGATACAAATAAGTGGAAGCATAAATCATGTTCATGAATATGAAGAATAAACATAATTAAAATGTCCATTCTACCCAAAGCAATCTATAGAATCAACACAATTCCTATTAATACCAATGGCATATTTCACAGCACTAGAACAAATATTGCAAAAAATGTATATGCAACCACAGAAGACCCTGAATACCCATAGCAATCTTGACAAAGAAGAGCAAGGTTGGAAGAATCATGCTACCTGATATCAAACTATATTACAATTAATATTTGACAAAGGAGGCAAAAAACATACAATGGGCTAAAAATTACCAATTCAATTAATAGTGCTGGGAAAATTGGACAGATATGTGAAAAAAAGTAGCTAGACCAATTTCTTACACCATACGCAAGAATAAACTCAAAATGGTTTAAAGACTTAAATGTTAGACTTGAAACCATCAAAATCCCAGAAGAAAAAAAATAGATAGTAAAATCTCACTCAGCAATATTTTTTTTCTGATATATCTCTCCAAGCAAGGGAAATTAAAGAAATTTTAAACAAATGGGACTACATTTGACACAGAAAAGGAAACCATTAACAAATTGAAAAGACAACCCACTGAATAGGATAACATATTAACCAATGATACATCCGATAAGGAATATCAAAAATTTATAAAGAACTTGTACAAATTTACACACACACACACACACACACACACAAAACAAGGCAATCTAATTCTAAAATGGGCAAAGGACCCAAATAGACACTTCTCCAAAGTGGATATACAGATGGCCAACAGACATATGAAAAGATGCTCAACATCACTAGTCATCAGAGAAATGCAAATTAAAACCACAATGAGCTATGTGTCAGAATGGATATCATCAATAATGCAACAAACAAGTGTTGGTGAGAATGTGGGAATACAGGTTGGTACAGCTACTGTGGAAAGCAGTATGAAGTTACCTCAAAAAATTAAAAATGGAACTGCCTCATTACCCAGCAAGTCCACCTCTGGGAATATATCCTAAGAAACCTTGAAACACTAATTCAAAAGAATATATTCACCCTGTTGTTTACTACAGTACTATTTACAATAACCAAGATTTGGAAGCAGCCCAACTATCCATCAGTAGATGAGTGGACGCAAAAGCCGTAGTATATTTACACAATGGAATATTACTCAGCTGTTAAAAAAAAAAAGGAAATCTTACCTTTTGTGACAGCATGGATGGACCTAGAGAGTATTACGCTAAGTGAAATAAGCCAGTCAGAGAAAAACAAGTACCATATGATTTCACTTAAATGTTGAATCTTATGAACAAACGAACAAACAAAATGGAAACAGATTCATAGATACAGAGAACATACTAGCAGCTGTCAGACAGGAGTGGGTTTGGGGGAATGGGTAAAAAGCTGGACTGGGCGGGAGGTTGAGCCAAAACCAGCTTTCCAACATCCCCCGAGAGGTCCTGGATTGCGAGAGGGCACAGGCTAGGCTGAGGGACCTCACTGGTGCACAGGAAGGATGTGGGAGGTTGGCCAGCTGGGGAGAGACCGTGGCAGGACTCCAGGAGTTTCTTGCTCAGTCCCGATCTGCAGAGCCCCAGCAGCAAGCTAACCTACTGGTTGGAGCATCTGCTTCCTGGTGGTCAGTGCATGTCATAGCAAGTGGTTGAGTGGCCTTAGCATATCATTTGTATACTATGCTTTGATTGGTTGAACTGCCAACTGGTCTACCAGACACTTAGCACATTAGGCTTTTATTATATAGGGTATACACATCTTTAATAATAAAAGTGTAATATGCTAATTAGACTGGTTGTCCTTCCAAAAGAAGCCAGGGCTGCAAGGGAAGCCTGGGTCATGGGTGCCAAAGGGAAGCTGGTGCAAGGAAGGCCTACTCTTGCACAGATTTCATGCATTGGGCTTCTAGTCTTTACACATAAATTTCAACCATGGTTCTCTCTCTATAGTAGCATTATAAGTAATTATTAATTTTCTTTAGATGTAGCTGTGGGTTCTAAACCTCCTAAAACATACATAAATTTAAAAAGAATATATTTATATAAGTTAAATATACTTATATAATTATAAAATAAATCAGAAAAACATAAGCAATAATTTAGAAATTATTGGAAAAAAGGTATTTCTAACATTAAATGAGTTGCAGAGATGCTAAAAGAAAACTTAGATACTTTTACTGTTTCTCCTGAACAAAGCTAATTTTTAAAAAAATATATATTTTATTGATTTTTTACAGAGAGGAAAAAAGAGATAGAGAGCTAGAAATATCGATGAGTGAGAAACATCGACCAGCTGCCTCTTGCACACCCCCTACCAGGGATGTGCCCGCAACCAATGTACATGCCCTTAACCGGAATCGAACCTGGGATCTTTCAGTCCACAGACCAATGCCCTACCACTGAGCCAAACCGGTTTCGGCAACAAAACTAATTCTCTCTTTTAAAAAAAAAAATATATATTTTATTGACTTTTCACGGAGAAGAAGGGAGAGATAGAGAGATAGAAATATCGATGAGAGAGAAACATCGACCAGCTGCCTCCTGCACACCCCCTTCTGGGGACGTGCCCACAACCATGGTACATGCCCCCGACCGGAATCGAACCCGGGACCCCTCAGTCCGCAGACTGATGCTCTACCACTGAGCCAAACCGGCTTCAGCCAAAGCTAATTCTTAAGAGTAAACTTCTAGCCCTGCCTTGTGTGGATCAGTTGAGTGTTGTCCCATGCACTAAGGACACTGGTTTGATTATCAGTCAGGGCACATGCCTGAGTTTAGGGCTATATCCCCAGTGCAGAAGGCAGCCAATCGATGTTTCTCTCTCCCTCTTCCTTTCTCTCTCTGTAAAATCAATAAAAACATTTTTTTAAAAGTAAACTTTAGAATATAGTCATTTTCAAATAAGTACAAACATGTATATTCAAGTCTAGAAGATATTGTGGAGATTATTCAGTTTTAATAAATGTTCTTTTTTCCACTTAGGAGAGAAGTGAAGGTCTGAAAAAAATACTTTAGGATTATAAATAATGAGAAAACTGATAACAAAATTCAGATCTTTTAAGTATTCGATTCTTATCAGATAGTCAATAAATCTATTACACAGGCTTTGTCTCTCCTGCTATTAGCAATATTCAGTTTCAATACATACATGAGGCATTTTAAAACTCCAAGTGTGCTTCCTGTCACCACACTAATTTTTAAAAATCCATTGATAATTCCTTCCTAGTAACTAAGCAAGTTTGGTTTTCATGTGAAATATGTTAGGGTTAGTAACCTTTTCTAGTAAAACTCAGTAAACACAATTTGAATTCTACCTATCAGATAACATGCTTATATTAAAAGACAACTAAATGAACATATTTAATAGGAACAACATTCTGAACCTTAACTATTATTTTAAAATATTTTTTACACTTTTATTTTATTTTTAATGGAGTTTTTAACTCTATATAAATAGAAGTGGACATTCTCCCATTTGGTTATATCAAAATTATTATTAGTATTACATATCATTTGCAAAGGCTATGCCCTTATATTTCCACAATGAATATAATAATTTAATACCTTCAATAAATCTTGCTCAATATAGAGCTATAATTCAAGATTAGTAGCTTTATTACTTCCTAACAGTTAGTCACATAATACCATACAGGCATACTGAAAGTGCTTCATCTTTCTGAAACCTAATGTCATTACCAAATTAATTAAAAACTATATATACATACTATTTTTTTTAATCTCCTAAAACCAACTGGATTTCTAAATTGACTAAAGGTTTCAACTTTAAATAAGACAAATTGCAAAACCAAAGTCCACAAAAAAACATATATGAAACATTTTAGCTAGTACAAATTATTCAATAACACTCTTCTTGCTTTCAGTTTAACTGCCACCGTACATTCAGATACATATACCCACATATAATATTTAATAATAGTACATCTTTAAGGGCTAAAATTTCTCCCACCCACATAACTCTTTATCACCTTACCCCATTCTGTGCCATCCCCCGAACTCCGTGCTTCTCCAGCTCCTTCACCATCTTCAGCAGTCACTAAAAAATCAAATTCTTTCAGTGCTTCCTCAGTATCAGGATCATCAGTTAGGTCAGCAGCTAAACCTTCATTACCTATCTGTAAGTGAAACATAAGCCAAAAATTGTTTTATCCTAATTTTTAAAAGGGTCCTTTATAGTTTCACACAATTATCTTTACACTAGGTCCGGTGCTCGAAATTTGTGCAGGGGGAGGGGGGGGCGGCGACACGCGTTGTCCCTCAGCCCAGCCTGCACCCTCTCCAATCTGGGACATCCCTCTCACAATCCAGGACTGCTGGCTCCCAAATGCTCTCCTGCCTGATCACCACTCCCATGCCTGCCTGAATGATGTCTAACTGTTCCCCTGCAAGCCTGTTTCCCCCAACTTCCCTCCTCTACAAGCCTGGTCACCCCTAACTGCCCCCATGCAGGGTTGATTTGATTGCCTCCAACTGCCCTCCCTTGCAGGCCTGGTGCCTCCCTACTGCCCTCCCCTGCTGGCTATCTTGTGGTGGCCATCTTGTATTCACATAGGGGCAGGAACTTTGACCACATGGGGACAGCCATTTGTATGTTGGAGTGATGGTCAATCTGCATATTACTCTTATTAGATAGGATAGAGGCCTGGTGCACTGGTGGGGGCCAGCTGGTTTGCCCTGAAGGGTGTCCCGGATCAGGGTGGGGGTTCCCTTGGGGCAGAGGCGGCCTGAGCGAGGGGCCTGTGGTGGTTTGCAGGCTGGCCACGCCCCCTCACCCCCCTTCCCGCAACCCAAGCAGAGGCCCTGGTATCTGGAATTTATTTACCTTCTACAATTAAAACTTTGTAGCCTGGAGTGGAGGCCTAGGCCTGCTTAGGCAGGCAGAAAGCTTGGCTTCTTTTGCCAGAGAAACTCAAGTCTCTGTGGCCTCAGCCATCTTGTTTGGGGTTAATTTGCATACTTGCTCTGATTGGCTTGTGGGCATGGCTTGTGGAGCAGTGATGGTTAATTTGCATATTACTTTTTTATTAAGTAGGACGGGCACTCCTATTTTTAAATTACTTAGGTATAAAATTTTAGATTTTCTATGTAGTTCACTAATCCTAAAGCATACCTAGATAAATGTTTTTCAAGAATGCTGTGTGAAGAACATTGTAAAAAAGTAAGGTGGTAGTGAGAATTATTAATATGCTAATGTCCAATGCTAATAACCTGTTTAATTATAATATATTCAGTTACCTTAAAAAAAAAACCCATTCACTCTTTTAAATGGAAAACTTACGCTAAATTGATCTCACTCACTTTGAACTATAACTTATAGATATGATACAACTAATGAAATATTAAGCCAATAGCTATGGTAATTATAATAGTGCTTTACCTCCTAGAACAGAAACAAACAAAAAGGAAACAAAATGTTCATTTACTCACGTTACACATCCTATCTAATAAAAAGAGAATATGCTAATTGACCATCACTCTATCACAAAGATGGCTGCACCCACAGCTGAAGCCAAGTTCCCATAAGGAGCCTTAAAGCAATCAACAGGGACCTGAGGCCCCACCCCCTGCCCTGGCATCAGGATGGAGGACCTCAGGCCATACACCCTGCCCCAGTGCTAGGCCAGGGGACCTGAGGCCATGACCCCCATCTCAAGGTGCATTTCCGTCCTGGTACTGGGCTAGGGGACCTCAAGCTGCTCCCCACACCCCCCAGTGCCAGGCCGGGGTACTTCAGGCTGTGCCCCCGTCCCAGCACCAGGCCATGGGACCTGAGGCTGTGCTACCCTACCTGGCAGGGCTTGACAGGGGACCTCAGGTCGTGCCCCCCATCCAGTGGGGCTTTACAGGGGACCTCAAGGTGTACCCCCAGTGCTGGGTCGGGGGAACTCAGGCTGTGTCCCCCACCCAGTTGGGCATGATGGGGGACCTGAGGCTGCACCCCCACCCAGTGCTGGGCTGGGGGACCTGAGGCTGTGCCTCCCACACCTGATAGGGCTTGATGAGGGACCTCAGGCCATGCCCCCCACCAACTAGGGCTTGATGGGGGACTGCAAGGCACACACCCCACCCTGGTCTGGGCTGGGGGACCGCAGGTCTCATCCCCAACCCTGGTGCCAGGCCAGGGGACTTGAGGCCATGACCCATGCCTGGCGGGCTTGACGGGAGACCTCAAGGTGCGCTTTCCGTCCTGGTGACGGGCTAGGGGACCTCAAGCTGCTCACCCCCACCCCAGCACTGGGCCAGGGGACCTGAGGCTGCGTCCCTTCCCCCCCACCTGGCAGGGCTTGACAGGGGACCTCAAGCCATGCTTCCCACCAAGCAGGGCTTAACAGGGGACCACAAGATGCACCCCCAGTGCTTGACAGGGAACCTCAGGCTGCACCCTCCTCCCAACGGGGCTTGACGGGGGATCTCAGTCTGTGTCCCCCACCTGGTGGGGCTTGGTGGGGGATCTCAAGGCATTCCCCCCACCCCAGTCTGGACTGGGGGACCTCAAGCCATGCCCCCATCCTGGCACTGGGCCATGGGACCTGAGGCTATGCCCTTTGCCTGGCAGGGCTTGACAAGGGTGGGACTGGCCAGGTCTGGATCAAGGCCAATGGGAGGGGAAGGTGGCTGGGTCTGGGTCTCACACAATTTTGAGGCACATGTATTTTATTGATTTTCACAGAGAGGAAGGGAAAGGGATAGAGAGAGTAACATCGAGGAGCTGCCTCTTGCACACTCCCTACTGGGGATGTGCCCACAACCAAGGCACATGCCCTTGACCGGAATCCTTCAGTCCGCAGGCCGATGCTCTATCCACTGAGCCACACCGGTTTTGGCATAGTGGGTGGGGACCTGACTTTGGGTGGCATGGTGCGTCCCAGACTCTGACAGGAGGAAGGTTTTCATATATATTTTACTAATTTTCTTTCATCTCTGACACTTCTATTATAGAGAAAAGGCAAATAGCAATATTAAATTATTTTCTCTAATTCTGTGCATCGGGACCACTAATATTAAATATGTTATAAATATAAAATGAGGCAAAAAGATTAAAAACTGTTTTTATAGACACAACATTTTCCCACACCACTGTAACATCCCAAAGAACTATAACTGAACCTATACTTTTATTTTTAAAAAATATATTTTATTGATTTTTTACAGAGAGGAAGAGAGTGATAGTTAGAAATATCGATCGATCAGCTGCCTCTTGCACACCCCCCTACTGGGGATATGCCCGCAACCAAGGTACATGCCCTTGACGGAATCGAACCTGGGACCTTTCAGTCCACAGGCTTACACTCTATCCACTGAGCCAAATCGGTTTTGGCTACTTTTATTTTTTTACATACTTGAAATAGTGTACACTACTATGATAATTCACAAATGGATCACCGAAACCACTTTTGCTAACCCACATCACCACTAAAATAGACAAACCTGTTTCTTAGGGTATAAGCAAAAGTAAATTATTAATCCTTATCAAACAATGAGAATGTCAACACATTTACAATCCATAATAGTTTATTTCTATTTGAAATATAATATGAGCATATATATTTTAGCTAAAAAGCTTAGAAAATCAAGTTCCTACTTTGTGTTTAATAATCCGATGTTTGTCTTTTCCTTCTGGCATGCCTTCAATCATGTCATTTTCCTCTTCTTCATCACTGTCATCAGCATTTTCCAAGAAATTGAATGTCTCAAGAACATCACCAGAAGGCCTGAATGAGGGGAAAAAGGTGAATCCAGATATTCCAACAGTTACTTCTAATACTTCTTTCTGGTTCCTATTTTAAAACAGCACTTGAAGGTACTTCAGAGATCTAAATGACAACCTATTTATAAATGTATTGTGTAAATATTTTACCCAAGAAGAGAATTCTGAAAGATTATTTATACTCTACAATTAAAGTAAAAGTGACTGTTTTCTCCAATGTTTATTGTCCAAAATATTTTAAGTAATTACTGTATCAAAATAAAATCCTGTATTAGACACTCAAATGTGATGCTATTTCTCAAAATAAAGGCACCATAAGCAAGCAACTTAAATTGAGCATTTCTTATAACTTTATAATCTACTACAGCTTCGACCAAATGTTTGAGGACTAAAGCCAAAGTTTAACTTATCAGGCTGCCCAAATTTAAATTTATCTTAAATCAGTTATAGAACATTCCAATCCATTTCACAGATTTTCTCCCCCCCCCCCCCCCGCCCAATATATATTTTTATTGATTTCAGAGAGAAAAGGAGAGGAAAAGAGAAAGAAACATCAATGATGCGAGAGAATCACTGATTAGCTGCCTCCTGCATGCCCCACACTGGGGATTGAGCCCGCAACCTGAGCATGTGCCCTTGATTGGAACTGAACCAGGGACTCTTCAGTCCAGAGGCTGATGCTCTATCCACTAAGCAAAACTGGCCAGGGCTTCACAGATTTTCTTTACCTAAAAAACAGGACCCTTAACATACTAAAGATAGCTGCCTGAACTTGGCCAAACCACTTAAACTTTTTGGCTTCAACTTATTTATAAGCAGGGGGGCGGGGGGGAAATGTGGAAATTGAACTGGATGATCTCAAATGTTCTTATCAACACTAAGAGTGCATGGTAACAAAAACAATATAAAATTTACAGTTTTCTCCCTCCCTGACTGATTCTATTAATTCAAATTAAGGACACAATGTAAGAAGATTTTTTCTTTTAATAGCACTTTAACATGGCAGAGGGTTTTAACAAGTCTACTACATTTTTGCCTAATCCAGCACATTAAGGATTTATATACATACTAGAGGCCCGGAGCATGAAAATTCAGGCAATGGAGGCGGGAGGGGTCCCTTAGCACGGCCTGACCCCTCAAACAGTCTGGGAGCCCTCAGGGACAGGAGGCGACCTGATGACCAGGGGAAGGCAGTGTCCCCATCACACCTCTGTTGCTGCCATTGTAGGTAGTGCAAACCTTGGCCGGCCCTGGTTACCTGAGCCCCGGTAAGCCCTGGGTAACTGGGCATCCGCCCTCTGAGGCTTGCCTGCACCTCAGGCATCGGCTAGGCAGCTGACATCCGAGACTTGCTTGTGCTTGTGCTTGGGCTGGCCCTGGGTGGCTGGGAAGCTAAGGGCAGATCTTGACACACTATGCAACTGCCACTTTTCCCCCACCCCCACCACCAGCTGGGCTGAATGGATTGGGGGACTTCAGCAGGGCTGAGGGGACTGGGTGCCACCATCTTTGTCACAGCATGATGGTCAATTTGCATATTCCCTCTTTAAATAGGATAGCATGTAAAAGAAACTGTTTCCAAATGCAAATTAGTAAAAAAAAAAAATACACAAACACCAACTGCAAAATGTAATATACACTTATTAGCTCAGCATTTAAAATATCTTACCTAATAAAAGAATAATATGCAAATTGGCCATACCTCCTCTACACCCAAGCCATGCCCACCAGTCAGAGTGAGTATGCAAATTAACCTAAACCACAAAGGCTGTGTCCACTGAGAGTAGGAGGGAGGCTTGGGTTTCCTATGCAATGGAAGAAGCCAAGCTTTCCGCCTGCCCTAGTCGGCCTAAACCTCCACTCAGGGCTACAAAGTTTCAATTATAGAAGGTAAACAAATCCAAACAGAAATGGCGGCAGCCACAGAGCAAGTAGAAGGCTTGGCTCCGCTCCAGGCTACAAAGTTTCATTTGTAGAAGGTAAATAAATTCCAGATCACACTTTTTAATCTCTATTATTTCTTTTTTGATCTCCAACTAAACCATTTAAAATAAGCCCTGGCTGATGTGTCTAAGTGGTTAGAGCATCTACCCACACGCTGAAGTCATGTGGGTTCAATTCCTGGTCCTAATCTTACAAAGGCAAGAAGCTGTTGTGGATCTTTAATTTGTATTCATATGTGGTGTAGTAAACTGAATTACTCTAAAATATTTATACTACTTAGTTTGGTTCGCTAGTAACTTTAGTTAAAAATTTAGAATACTTTTCCTCTTATGCTACAAAAACACTCTATGCTTCCTAAAATCCTGAGTATAGAAAATAAGGGCTCTATTAAATGCTAAAGACCAGGGGGTGTGAGAAAAATGTAGGAGAAGAGTATGGGGAGTGACAGCTAATGAATATGGGGTTACTTTTTAGGATGCTGAAAATTTTCAAAACTTAAACTGTAGTAGTGATGGCTGACAACTGTGAATATCCTAAAAACCATTAAATGAAATTTATGGTATGTGAATTATATCTCAATAGAGACATTAAAATAAAAAGAACATTTGGTAGCTATCTGAACCCAAAGCCTTATTCCTTTTACACTAGTACCTAACCACTGCTATTCTGATTACAGAGTACACAATAGTTTACTCTTGGTAAAATTTAAAAATCAGGATGTTAAAATATCTCTGAACTACATGACATCACCCTTAAGTTTTAATTTTATACCTATTTCAGAACCATTGCTATTTGAAAAGCATGTAAATAGGAAATTTATTGCCTGTGATACCACTAAGGGAGAGAAAAGTCTTTAAATTTGGACTCCACCTGTTTTAAATTTTTTTTAACAGTATTAAAAAAGAAGGTAAAAAGATTCTAATACCCATTATATAAACAATATTAACCTAGAAATATATATCATACCTTTTGATTTCTTGTCCTTTTTGCTTAGGAGATTCACCTCCATTCAGGATCTGTTCTAAATTCTTTGTTTCTACTGATCCATTTGGTTCTGAATTGGATAGTCCAAGTAATGACCTTACCCGCTGAGACCGTACATCTAATATTGTATCTGTGTAACCTACTTCCTGAAGATATCTATAAGAGAAATTAAAAATATAAAAACCCACTTATTAACACCAGCAAACTTAACTAAAAATTACATGAAAGGATTTTAGGAAAACCCATAATCCTATAAAATACATTCTTCCTTTGCCTCAATAACTGTCTTCTCTATAGACTAGTTCCAGTTTTAAGAGAAAAAGGCCAATTACAAACTGAAATTTAATTAAGAAAGTGAATAGCACAGACAACATTAATCAAGGGTCAATTACTAAATCCTAAAAATCCCTAGAGCCTTAAGAGGCCATTATGAGTTGATGATAAATATTTTAAGTCTGGAAAGTGGTAAGAAATAAGCAGAACTCAATTTCAGAATAGTTACATGCTAGGGTTAAAGCCAGAGGTAGATGGACAGAGCACTTCTCCCTCTGGGATCAATCTCATTGCATTTTTATTATCCTATGGTCTTGAAACTTTTTGTATATCTAAACCAGAATCCAGGATGAAAATGAAAAAGAAAGGAAAGCAAGTTAAGGAGTTCTCACCTGACAAGCCTTCCTATTTTCAGTGAAGTAGAACCTTAGGTGCTCTAATGACAGCAAGAGAGAATGGGCGGAGATGTGGTAAAAGTTTACAATATCCACTGAAGTTGATGGGAGGAGGTGACCAGAATTATGGAGAAAGGCTCTTTGCAATGTTTGGACAAGAAACCATGAATATATAAGGGCATTTATAAGATTCAATCATTTTTCTCCAAGAATTATTATTTTTTTTTATTTTAATCTTCACCCAAGGATATGTTTGGTTTTAGAGGGAGGGATGAGAACACTGATGTGAGAGAGACACATCAATTGGTGCCTCCCATATATGCTCTGACTAGGATCGAACCTGAAATCTAAGTACATGCCCTGACTGGAAATCAAACGCGCTATCTTTTAGTGTATGACAAGATGTATCAACTAGTTGAACCACCTGGACCTGGCCAAGGCTCTCCAAGAGTTATTTAGAAGTAGAAGCACAATAACTGAAGTAGGGCTGGGAATATTGCAAGTAGGTATACTAAAATGACTGCTGCGAGAGGGTAAACAGTGAGCAGCAAAAGAGTAAAGGGTTCTAGCAAAAGGGTGATGGATAATGGGGTCTAAGCTGGAGCTAGGGAAATTAAAACAAACAAAAAGAGCAAACGAAAATAAAATAAAAATCAAACATAGGTCGAGAGGAGCTAATGGAGAAAATAGTCAGGCTCTAAAGAGCAAGGAAAAGTCAGAGAGTGAAAACATGGAACTTGGAGTGAGAAGTGGAATTTAAGATAACTGTTGGAACATGGGCTACCCCAGAGGTAGTTCTAGGTAATATAACAAGGTCAAAACACACATCACTAGGTTACTTAAATACAGGTAAAGATGTCTAGAGTTGAGAAAGTTGAACAATTAATTGTAAGCAACCAAGGATATTGGGAGTACACCAGTATAAAAGTGGCAAAATAAAGAAAGAAGAAGAAATAGATCAAAGACATTAGGATTTGCCACAGAAGTACTTCTAATACAACGAAGAATTCAAATGTCAAAAAGAAGTGCCTCAAAAATTCAAGTGAAGAATAGGAATTTGGCAAGCTACTTCTGAAGTTTCAGATATCCAGTTAAATTTTTTCTCTAAACCAGTCTCACTTAAAACCAAATATGTGAATTTTGCAGTGATGGAATGGAGTATCTACAAGTTTGAGTTCTGTATTGTTTTTGTTCTGGCCTTCAGTCTTTACAACATACTACCTTGTAAAAAACAAAACAAAACAAAACAAAACAAAAAAAAACCCAGCAGCATCCTGGGGAACATTCAGAGGAAACAAACTTTAAAAAACAATATGAAAACTATATGCATTGTACCAGTATCATTAAATAATTTTTCACTTGAAAAGTGACTGAATATAAGCAGTTCCTACTTAGATCCTTAAAACTGAAAATGAGCCATTACTCACTGTCTTAATAGCTGTCTGCCTTGCTTCCACGTTAACTGGCTATTCTGAGGCGCTGTGGGAGCTTCTGTATCTTTGGTTTCTTCTAAAAATTAACAACAGAAAGACAAATTTCATACACATTATTTCAACTATTGAAAACACTGCCAAAGTTCTCTAAGGGAAAAATTCTCACAAAAATACACCTAAATATTTTTATAAAGAACACACAAAAAAATTAACTTTTATTGAGTATTTACTGTAGATCACACTCATTTCAACTGTGTTTATCCCAATAACCCAAACACTTAGGTACTAACCTCCTGTTTTAAAATTAGGAAAAGTCAAGTGTACATTAACTATAACTACCATGGATCCAAAAATCAAAAGCCCAGGCTTTGAAATACAATATTATTATTACTTTTCCAACTACTAGAATTCTGAGTTGAATATTTTTGAAATTAAAAAGCTATACTTAAAATTTACAGTAGCTATTCAAGAGCAACACATTTAAGAAATTAGGTATATATAATAACAGCCCTGAATTGGTATCAGTAGAGTATATATAGTTAATTTCATTTTTAGAACTAAAAGTTAAAGTTTTACTACAGATAAAAGGTCATTTTTATTCTCAGGTAACAAAATATATATATTTTAAAAGTTTAGACTGAAATTCAAAACTACTTATGGGCACTATTTTCCCATAAATTTCTATTATAAAAATAAAGATAAAGCAGAGAGGGCCATTAAAGATCAACCCTCAATGAATGTTGAGAACTTAGAATAAATCACAGTTGTTAGGCTCCTAGACTCCTTAGTCACATGAACAAGTATTTATTGGCAGTAATTCAAATATTCTCTACAAGTATTACTTCTTTAACCTTAACAATCTCATTATTATTTTCTCATTCTTTCCCTGAACAAAGGAATTGCTACAATTTCTAGAAAAGATTCGTTCATTCTAACAGTCACCTTATTTTTATAGTTATAATTTTTAATTTATATCATTTTATTTTTAAATCACAAAAAATACAATCCATAACAGAAAAAAAAATTACAAAAGAATACTAATGCCCCAAATCTCATCACCAAAAGTTAGTATTTAAGACTTCATCACACCCTGACCAGTTTGGCTCAGTGGACAGAGCGTCAGCCTGAGGACTGAAAGGTATGTACCTTGGTTGTGGGCACATTCCTGATAGGAGATGTGCAGGAGGCAGCTGATCAATTTTTCTCTCTCATCGATATTTCTAACTCAATAACCCTCTCCCTTCCTCTCTGTAAAAAAAAAAATCAATAATATATATATATATATTTTTAGATTTTATCATTTCATATTTTTCATCTGAAAATACACACTTAAGCTTCTCCCTCCTTAAAAAAAAAAAAAGGACAATATGTGTACTGCATTATAAGCAGCTTTTGACAATGTCACTTGAACATTCTATGGCAATAAATATAGATTAACATCTAAAATGATTACTTAATATTCCATAGAAAGTATATACCTATATAATTTAAACAGTCCCCTAATGTTGAAATTAGTTTCCATTATTCACTATTATAAATAATGCTGCTAAGGATATTCTTGAAGTACATCATAAGCGTACAGCTCACTGAATTTTTGAACACACCCATGTAACCAGTACCTAAATGAAGAAACAAAACATTGTCAGCATCCCAAAAGCTTTCCTTGTGCCTTTTCTAGTCACTAAATAGTCCAAGAAGAACATCAACACTATCCCAAATTCCCAAAACTAGATTAATTTTTAATTCAATAACATTAAATCAATTATATCAATTTTATGTGACTCATCAAGTTGTGAGGTTTATTTATAGTTTGTTAGCTTGTTGCTATAATAGCATTCTGCTATGCTAAAATATCACAATATATTTATGAATTCTAATGCTGAAGAGCATTCCAATTTTTTCTAGTATTACTTGCTACTAAAATTAATGAACATACATATGCATTTTAGGGAGTGGAACACCTAGGAATGGAATTACTGGCCCCAGAGCATGCTACGTTCCCTTTAGGAATACAACTGACAAATTGATTTTAATTCCAAGATCAGTAGGTCTACAAACTCTCATTATTCCACATCCTCATCAACATTTGACTTTTTCTCTTTTTCATTTTAGCCATTCTGATAGGTGTCTAACTGTATTGCACTGTGTTTTTAAGTTGTATTTCCTCCATTATTGATAAAATTGAGCATCATTTTATATGCTTCATGCCATTTGTAAATCCTACTTTATCGAGTGCCTTTTCAGGTCTTTTGCCGGTCTTTCTACTGCTACAAGTTTTTTAAAATCTAAATGCAAGGAAAAAGGAGTCTTTAGGTATTTGGGTACAACCCCCTTTATAGGGTTAATTTTAATATATATATATTAGAGGCCTGATGCACGAAATTCGTGCAAGGGGCTCAGCCCTCGCAGCTCCAGCTTCATCCAAAAGGTTGTCCGGAATGTCATTCGGCTGTCCAGTCTAATCACATATTATGTTTTTACTACAGATTGGTATTATTGAGACAGAGGTATAAAAACATGCATATCTTGCACTTTTGCCAAATCAATATTTTGCACATTTTCTCTTTTTTATATTTTGCTTTATTTTGAGCATTTAAAAGGCAATACTGATTCACTTAATGTTTACATAGACTTTGATGTAAATGATTTTATCTCACTTTGTTTGCATGGTGTTTTTCTGACCATCACCTTATTTTCCCACTAAATATCCTGAATAGTTTTTCTACCTCTGTAAAAACAATCTACTTTGTTATTAGTGTGTCTCCTATAAATAGAATACTTGAATGTTATTTTACTTCTCTATTTCAAGAAATTTCAATAATTAAGTTTAAAAACAAGTCTTTCAGTATGGGCAGGAAATATTTGCTAAATGATTTTGCTTTATACAAACTGTTGCCCTGAGACCAGCTAGCCAGTTCTGACTCTAGTTCTAGGAAAATGTGGCTGCAATTAGCCTCCTTCCTCACATTTATGCAGACCCAGTTATGAACATTTCTTGAGTTCTAGAAAGTTATTGTTTATTTTCGGAATATTCTAGCCATATTAGAAAGTGGAGAAGATCTAAAAATAAATCAACTGCAGGTTGTATGTATAAAGTGTTCTGCCTAGTTCTTAGTACTATCAAACCAAAAACCAATTAACTAAACTTATCAAATGTACTAAATACCTAACTAAAGAAAAAACAACACAAAAAACCCATATGTAAGCTTTACTGTCCATACAATATACACATACTTTGACTTTTTAGATATGGAAACAACCATAGGAGAAGAAAAATTATGTATCAAAAAGACATCTTTTTGTCTTAGTACCCAACATCCAGCAGCATAGAATTCAACTTGTACTATCAATATATATATATATATATATATATATATATATATACACACACACACACACACACACATATATATATATTTTTGCCGGTCTTTCTACTGCTACAAGTTTTTAAAAATATATATATTTAAAAGCCATATATATATATATATATATATATATATATATATATATATGGCTTTTAAATATACCTGAGAAATTACTAATATTATTTCCAAATAGTATATCATATGAATCAAAATGTATATACCTTATTAGACTTTTAGGATACTCAAATTGTAATCATATGGAACCCTAAAATTAGCTCTTTCCTATATACAGCCCCCACTCCCTGCACAATTATTCGTCAAATAGTACTCTCAGATTCACTATTCACTATCAGTTTAGAAAAGAGCTAAGCCAATTGCAGATACTTTTTCCCCTTCCTTATCCTTATTTGGCTGCCTCTACAATTTCCATATTCAATTAAATTTCCAAATGTTTTAGAACAAACTGAGTTAATCCCAGCTTCTCCAAACCAAAAAGTTTTCAATAGTAAAAAATTAAGCCTACAAAGGAAGAACAATAATTGCCTACAGGTGGAGAAAGAGTTATCACTTCATTACCTTTCATCTCTGAATTACTATAAAAAAATGTACCCACAATTTTACACAGATTTCAACACAACAAAAATAGGAAAAATAACCTTAGAATTGAGATGCAGATGAAACTACTTACTTTTATTCATTTATTATTTTCCCCAAATTCTAGACAGTAGTAGTACAATAGTCAACCATTTGACCAACCAATTCTTTCAAAGGAAAATAGGAGGAAAAGAAAATTTGTCTATTAAATAAAAATAAGCTTGAACGAACTATTCTTTGGGAAGGGGTGAGGAGAAATATAAAAATATTTTACCTGATTCAAAGGTTGGCATTTTCAAATCACCTTGGTTCAGTTCTGTGCCATATTTTAATTTGTGATATTTTGCCCTGAAAAAATTAATAATAAATTGTTGAAAGAAAAAAAATTTCCCCTTTTTTACACAGTTAAGAAACTACTGGTAGATTTCTCCAATAACAAATAAAAAAACGGTATGAATGTGTTTCTTTCAACTTTACCTACAAAGGAAGAAATGTACTGCTTTAATAGAAAAGAGAGGTGTATTACCCAGCTAACATATATACCCAAGTAAAAAGAAAATCCCAAGACTTAGATCCCATAATAAAAGATATTTCAATTTAAAGATTTCAACATTTTTCTTTCCTCGTATGACAATAAAATCAAAACATTATCTTGTATTTTGTATCTTTCAAAGTGCTTTGGAATACCTTGTACAGTGATATAGAGAATAACAGTGTTCTAATTTATTTTATTCACATCATAAACTGAATCACACATACCTTTCTTGTTTTAATGCATACTCTAACATCTTTATTCTTCTTACTAAATCCTTCTTCAAGTTTTCTTGACCTTTTCGTTCTCCTTGCAAAAATGCTATTCGGGCCTAAAAATATAAATGGTTCATTTATTTTCACTTTTTCTTAACTATACACAGGGAACTGAAAAAAGGAAAATAATAAATGTAAATTTCTGCACTTTCATTTATGATAGCAAGACTAAAAATTCATAGAAGCAATCAAACTTTGTTAGATAACATAATTACTTTAAAAACAAAGATAACTATAAACTATCTGCTTATAATCCTTATGACTACTAATTTTACATGATCTTGAAAGAAAATTTTATGTGGCGCAGCTGGTGTGGCTCAGTGGTTGAGCATAGACTTATGAACTAGGAGGTCACAGTTCAATTACTGGTCAGGGCATATGCCCAGGTTGTGGTCTCAATCCCCTGTGTGGGGTGTGCAGGAGGCAGTTGATCAATGATTCTCTCTCATCACTTATATTTCTATCTCTCCCTCTCCCTTCTTCTCTCTTAAAATCAATAAAAACATATTTTTAAAAAGTAAAGTGGACAATCCATGAACTTCACCGTTCCTTAAAAAATAATAATGACCAGAGGTAACAGAGAGAAGATAAGGATATAGAGGACTTGAACAACGTAGTAAGTCATCTGGATCTAATAGTCATATCAGAATATTCTACCCAACAATAACAGAATATATATTTTTCTCAAGTATACATGGTCTCCAGGATACAAGGCCACAAATTAAGTCTTAATAAGTTTCAAAAGATATATATTATAAAAAATTATCTCTGAACAAATGCATAAAATTCAAAATCAGTAATAGAAACAAACCCAAAGTCACATAAGTGTGGAAATTAAACAACACACTGTTAAGCAACTAATGTAAGAAACCACACACACACACACACACACAAAAATTAGTGAGGAATGAAAACAAACACAAGATACCAAAAGTTATGGGACACAGCAAAAACAGTGCTAAGGAGAATATTTATAGCTATAAATGCTTACATTACAAATACATAAGCAAGATCTGAAATCAATAACTTAAATTTACAACTTAAGAAATTAAGAAAAAGAATTTAGCAGAAGAAAAGAAATACTACAGATTAAAGCATCTACAATAATCCTAATATAATGTATAAAGTGCCACAGTCCGTAACATCCAAAATGACTGAACAGATGCCAGGCTGCATGCACAGCAGGCTCGGGTGGGCAGGGACTGGCAAGTGGGCTGAACTGCTGAACTCTCAATTCTTCCTGGGTAGCAGGCGCTGTGGCAACACAGCAGTGACTGCCGCTGCCAAGGTGGGTGCAATGAGATTGGTCTGGAGGGCTTCACGACTGCCTTACAATTGCCCCCACGATCACCCCACAGAGGGCACCAGCCGGGGGACACCATAATCGCCCCAAAGAGGGAGGCCCAGGCTACCCAGCCAGCAGCAGGCGGGGCCTCTCTCTGCAGGACAATCGATCACAGTGCTTCCAGACTTTGAGGGGGCACAGGCCAGGCTGAAAGACATGAATTTCAGCCCCCTGAGTGCATGAATTTCGTGCACTGGACTTCTTACTATGGGTACTATGCTAATTAGACCAGACAGTCAAACAACCTTCTGGATGTCTTTCCAGAGGAAGTTGCCGCTTGGGGGGGGAGGGGGGGGTACACACACGCAAGGCAGAGGAGGTTAGAAGGGGCAATGAGAGGCAGGCAGGCAGGCAGGCAGGCAGGCGAGCAGTTAGGAGCCAGCGGTTCTGGATTGCAAGAGGGATGTCTGATTGCCAATTTAGGCCTGATCCCACAGTTGGACATTCCTCTAGGGGTCCTGGATCGAGAGAGGGTGCAGACCAGGCTGAGGGACATCCTCCACCCTCATGTGCACAAATTTCGTGCATCGGGCCTCTAGTACATAATTGAAATAGAGAACAGAAAAACAGTAGATAAGAGTTATAATCAATCTTTCTAAAACATTTCCAAAAACTGAAGAGGGAAAACTCCTTAATTCAATGAGGTCAGCAATAAATACCAAAGCCAGTTAAGACACTACCAACCCCCAAATACTCAACAAAAAATTCAGCAGTATATATTACAAAAATTACATATCATGACCAAATGAGATTTATTCTTGAAATGCAAGGATGAGTCAATGTAAGACAACAGATCTAAGCAATACACCTTATTAAAAAAATAAAGGAGGAAAAAGCCACATTTCAAAATGATGCAGAAAAAAGTTTGATAAAATTAAACATCCTTTTATGATACTCAACAAAGTAGGAATAAAACGAAGCTACTCAACATAATAATGAAAAAGCCACAATGAACATCATTCTGAATAGTGAAAAATTTCCCTCTGAAATCAGAATAGGGAAAAGATGCCTACCTTCAGCATTCCTATTCAACGTAATAATAGAAGTCATGGACAGAGCAATGAGGCACTCTTTGCCAAAAAGCTGCGTTTAACACTCTAGGTCTGTTTCCCACTGATCACTGGGGGAAGGGACTGGACAAAGGAAGTTTAGACGTATGCCCAGTAACAGTCTGAGTGATGTGGGCAGGTGCCTGTCAATCACACATGGAAACAAATTAGTGCCCAGATGGGCATGGCCACTGCAAGCAGTGAGAAATTAATATATCAACTTCTACACAAAAAGACACACTCTCTTGGCTCCAAGGTGCTGGACTCCAGTGACTCCTATTGCAGGGGCATACTCCCCTGTGCCCACATGGCTTATGGCCATATAGAGCTCCATGTATGGACTAATAGAATTTAATTAGCTTGGATAATGAACTACACCCAGCTGCAACATGGAAGGGGAGGGGAGACTGAACTCCCACTTGCACCTCTTTCAGGATTGGCTTAAGGGGCAGAGGACTTTGGAAACTGAGGAATGTAACTTCATACATATAAAGCCTTAATCACATTTCATCCTCCCGTAGGGGTTTCTGAAAATTCTTATTTCAGCGGTACCCCAAGAGCCTTAACCTCACTCTGACAAGTAGTAAAGGAATTCAATCCTCAGGTAACACCAGGTTACAGTCAACAACATTTCTATAAACCATCAATATATAATCCCTACAAAAGCAGGAAAGCAATTCCATTTACAGTAATAACAAAAAGAATAAAATACTTAGGAATTAACCAAGGAGGTGAAATACTGGTACAATGAAAACTATAAAATACTGCTGAGAGAAATTAAAGACAAATAAATTGAAACACATTTCATATTCATGGATTGGAAGACTTATTAAAATATCACTACTGTCCAAAGTGATCTACACATTCAATGCAATCCCTAGCAAAATCCTAATGCTAAAAAGCAGTTAGTTACCTAAAGGAAGCTCTCATATGATTGTCAGCTGATTTTTCAGCAGAAACTATACAGGTCAGAAGAGAGTGGCAAGAAATATTCAAAGTGATGAATAGCAAGAAACAAGATTATTCTACCCAGGGAAGCTCTCGTTTAGAATTGAAGGTCAGATAAAGAGCTTTACAGACAAAAAAAAGCTAAAGGAGTTCATCACCACCAAACCAGTATTACAGGAAATGTTGAAGAGAAAGGAGGAGAAAAAGAAAAAGACCAAATATATAAACAATAAAAAGGCAATAAATACATGTCTATCAACAACTGAATCTAAAAATCAAAATAAATGAATAAGAAATCTAATGAAGAGAATAAACTGGTGAATAAAAGAGAATCAGAGGCACAGAAATGGAACAGATTGATGATTCTCAGAGGGAAGGGAGGAAACAGGAAGAGATTAACAAAAATCTTATATGCATAAATGCATTACCTATGAACAGAGACAATAAGGTGGTGAAGGCCTGAGGTGGAGCAGGAACCAGATGGAAGGGAGCAATGGGGAGAAAGAAAGAAGGACATCTGTAATACTCTAAACAAAGATTAAAAATAAGTAAATAAATAGAAAGGGGGGGGGGGGAATCCCAATGGCATTTTTTTGTGTAGAAATAGAAAAATGCATCTTAAAATCTACAAGGAATATCAAGGAAACCCAAATAGCAAAAACAATCTTGAAAAATAACAAAGTTGGAGGCCTCACACTTTCTGATTTCAAAACATACTATTAAGCAACAATAATCAAAACATGATACTGGCATGAAGACAGACATATAGACCAACAGAACAAAATAGGAGATCAGACATAAACCTTCAGGACATTATGCTATATCAAATGAGGTACACAAAAAGACAAGTATTGTGTAATTCCACTCTTCTGAGGTATTTAAAGTAGTCAAATTGATGGAAATAAAGAGTAGACAGGTGGTTACTAGGAAGGGTGCAAAGGGACAAGCATTGGTTGTTTAATGGATTTAATGTTTCAGATTTGTCAAATAAAAAGGTTCTGGAGATCTGTTTCACAATACTGTGAATATACTTAAAACTGTTAACTATATACCCTAAACATAATTCGGAGGGTAAATGCTTTTTAGCATAACTTTTAAAAGTATTTTTAAAAAAAGTCTTTTTTTTTTTAGAAGGACAAACCAGATGGAAGAAGATATTTGTAAAACATATAAGCTGAGAATGGGCTTATCACATATAAATCCTATCTGCTCCCTAAAATGACACACCACCTTTTTAAAAATGACAGCACCCCCCAAAAAATGACAGCCCAATGGAAATACTGTTAAAAGACTTACACTACAAGATCACAAGATATTGAGATGGACAATCAAGGTATGAAACAGTTCTCAACTTTGGTAGTACTCACAGATATATAAAAAAAAAAAAAAGTAACTAAGTACCAGATTGGCTAAAGTTTTAAAAGGCTATTTGTTGAGGAAGGTATGAATCAACAGATACTCTGATAAACAATTTATAAGACCATAAACGGGTATAGCCACTTTGAAAAAATTGTGCATCATCTATTAAAGTTGAAGACATAAATACAATAAAACCAAAATATCCCTAGATATATATGAAAAGAAATGCATGTATGTATGTGCATACTAGAAGACCTATAAAAAAAATATTCCCAGGACCAATTTTTTTTTTTTTAAATCCTCACTGAGGATATTTTTCCATTGAATTTTAGAAGAGAGAGGGAGAGACAGAGAG